TTAAAATACCGTTAAATTTAATTGTTGCGTTTTAATTTCCTCAGGAATTATCCACGAAGTTGGATTAGATCAGTTTATTTACGGTCTATACGCTCACACCGAGAATTTTATACATGAATATTTGGGCCGAAGTCCATCAGCCACAGAGGGTAACCGGGTAATATTCATTAACTGCAGACTGGCAGCTAGTAGTATATTTTAAGTTAAGGTGATACCATACTAACAGCACAGGTACTAGCCAAAGGTCCATACACGCGTGTTTCGCCGATGTTTTGCCGCTGCATGGCGCAGCTGCTAGGGGTTCGACCCGTCAGTGGGTGCCCCAGCATTCTCCGTGTGTTTTCTAGTAGATACTCCAATTTAGAAATTGTATAAAATTCTCGGTCTGAGCCTATATACCTTGAATAAACTGATCTATTCCAACTTCGTAGATAATTTCTGAGGAAATCAAAAAGTGACAATTTATAAATTAAAGTATCTACCAGAAAACACACGGGGAATGTTGGGGGACCCACTGGTGAGCCGAACTCCTCGCAGCTGCGACATGCAGCGGAAGAACATCGAAGAAACACGCGTGTATGGGCTTTTGGCTAGTACCTGTGCTGTTAGTATGGTATCATCTTACCCTAACGTTAACTTTAGACCTAACCCCGCATCTAATCCTCAACTTAACCATAACCCCTAAGTTCACCAGAAGTTGACTTAAAGCCACATGTATTGCAGGTGGTTTCCATTCTCATGTCTTGTTTAGACGTCCACATATATCGGTCATACCCTCAAATGATGTGAATACGAACACACAAACGAATGGAGACAGAGCACTCAGCAAGATGCTGACAAAATCTCTTCGCAAGCTCTGATTCAGGTCTACAAAGTCAACTTTTAACTTAACTTTGTCATGCAACCTCAGGATGCCTGAGCAAAAAAGGGTCTAAAAGCTTCCATAAGTGAATAAGCAGTGTACTTGGGGTGCATAATCAATGCTGTGGCTTGCTTGTTAAAAATAGCCGACAGAGATTGCTTACATGCTCCCTTCCACCTGGTCAGGGTATGGAAACAGGATCCATCCGTAGTACGGGGGTTTTGCGTCAAATCGTAGAGAAATAAGGTTTAGGACTAAGGTTAGGGTTACGGCTAAAGTTAGGAGACAAGAATATTTATCCTGTCTGGAGTTTAGCGTAAGGCCGTCCGTGTTTCTGTGTGCAGTTTAGGAGGTCATATAAGCAATTCCAATCAAATGAGCTTCCAGTGTCATATTTAATTCACGAAAAAATGATGTCCTTCGCGACCGCCTCAGATTAAATCCGTCCTCAAAAACTGATCAAAGGGGTTGGAGAGAAGGTAGAATGAAGGGAACCGCATCCAAAATGAAGTTCTTTGTGGGATGTCTGAACGGCAGCCATGGCGAGTCCTTTAGCCCCAAAGGCGAAAATTAAAAAAACAAGCAGCGGAAACCTAGGCAAGGCAGCAACTGCCAATCAGAATCTGTGCTCTAACCTCTTATAATCACTGCTATAGAAGCCTCATCCTTCGACAAACTCCTTACGCACTATGCCGCTCTAGGTCGCGCACTGGTTACAACGTTTGAGAAGTAACTAGGTAACTAGTAACTGGTTGACTACGTCAACAAGGCAAACCAAATCTTCGATGACAGGGAAGCCTATGCACCACTCGCTGCAGACCCAACGAAAAAGCAAGCCGCGACTATCAAGAAGAAAGTGAATGAGCTTGCCCGATTGAAGCTCATAAGCCCCGATGACAGCAGATCTATGACCCACAATGACCCCCGTATCGCACGTGCGTACGGCCTTCCGAAGGTGCACAAGACAGATGCGCCGCTGAGGATCATTGTGCCACTTATTGGATCCCCTACTTACAACCTTGCCAAGTGGTTATACAAACACTTAAAGCACCTCGCAAATGGATCGCAATACAGCATCAAAAACTCTCAGGCTTTCCTACAAAAGATCCAAGGCCTTGAAGTAAGTCCTGACGAATGCATCCTATCGTCCGATGTTGTTGCCCTATTTTCTTCAATACCACACGACCTAGCGATTGACAGCGTAGCCCGATGTCTAGAGCAAAGTCCCATTGGCATTCCAACAGAACATGTTCTAGACATGCTTAAGCTTTGCCTCAAGAATTATTGTCAGTTCGATGGCAAGTACTATCAACAAGT